ATTTTTCAAGTCTTTTTGGACAGATATCAATTCATATATTCTAAAATCTTTTAATTATAGTTACAAAGCAGGTCAGCTGTCTTATACGCAGACACTTTAATTATAGTTACAAAGCAGGTCAGCTGTCTTATACGCAGACACTTGGAATAATTTCTATTTTCCCTAAAGGCAACAAGTCAAGGGAACACTTAAAAAATTGGAGACCAATTACATTACTGAACATTACATATAAACTTCTATCTAGTGTTTTAGCCAACCGAATAAAACTAACCCGGTCAAAAATAATACATGAAAATCAAAAAGGCTTTCTTGCTGGTAGATATTTTGGTGAAAACTCAAGGTTTTTATATGATGTTATTCACTATTGTAAAGAAAATGATCACCCAGTTCAGATCCTTTTAATTGATTTTGAAAAAGCATTCGATTCTATATCTTGGAGATACATTTTCAAAGTACTCAGATTCTTTAATTTTGGTGAAAATTTTTTATAATGGATAAAGATTTTACTTAATGAGCCTAGGTTATACGTTATCCAAAATGTTTTTTTTTTTCAAACTTTTTACAAATGGGACGAGGTTGCAGGCAAGGTGATCCTATTTCACCATATTTGCTTTTACTATGTTCAGAAATAATGGGAATTATGATTAGAAATAATAAATTGATAAAGGACATAGTTATTGAAGATAAGGAATATAAACTATTACAATATGCTGATGATACAGTTTTATTGATGGATGGCTCAGAGGAATCCATCAAATCAACTTTATCCTTAGTTAATCAATACTCCAAATTCTCTGGATTGAAACCAAATTATGATAAAAGACAATGTATTAAGATCGGGTCAACTGTTCATACTGATAACAATTTATGTGATAAATATCCAAACTTATTGTGGTCACAGGAACAATTTACAGTGTTAGGTATAACATACTTTGTAGATTTAGATCCAGATGCTATATTTGCTTTGAATTTTTTTCTAAAGATTAACACTGTCAAAAAACTTATATCATCATGGTCTAGAAGATGTTTATCTAGATGTTTGTATAGAGGTGTTACTGACTCGCACTTATGTAGCTTTTGTAAAACACATCCAGAGACAATGTGCCACCTCTTTTGGGAATGTGAGTTTGTTGTAGAAATTTGGGAAAATGTTTTGAATTGAATGTTAGAAAAGTTTGGACCTGATATCAATCTAAATAAGGTTGATGTTCTGTTTGGAAAATATTACAAATATAACAATATATTTAATCTAGTAATATGTATAATTAAAAAGTATATCTATAGAACCAAACTAAAGAAAAATACATTATCTTTTGAGAGAGTTAAACAAGAAATTGTATATTACTATAATTGTGAGAAATATATTTATAAGAAAAATATAGACATGGACAGCTTCAAATAACGATGGAATGCAATAACATTTTAAGACGAAAATTATGTATGTAGATTAAGTTGTATAAATGCTATTAAGTACAGAATTGCAGTTCTCAGATGTGTATTTTTTCTATTGAAAATATCTTTGTTAGCTACTGATATAGACATATGCATGCCTTTGTTTGTGAATGATGAATAAATGGGTTAACAAAAAAAAAAATAAAAAAAAAATGTCCTATCATAAGATAAGCTTGTGTTGTAACCTTGTAAGCATAGTAAATCAAGGGCCCCAACCCTGGCACTAAGCATTGTATTATAATATATGATGGGGTAATAAAAAAAAATTAAACAAAAAAAAAATTCCAACTATATGTATGATACACCTCAGAGTCTAATTCTGACACAAACACATTTGACTTTTCACTCTCCTTCATCAATCAATGAACATTCAACAACATAAATATGAACGAGATACTACATGAATGAACACAGTGTTTAAATTTCAGTGGACTGAATTCACAATGGCGTATAGTTGAAAATGATGATGAGGTAATGAAATGATTGGTATATTATGTCAACAAATAATTGAAACATATACATGTATAGTATTTATTAAAAAATAATTTATTAATCTTGTGACATGTCCCCCTCTATGAGACATTTTGTCAAAATGTTAAGTAATCAAATAAATGGATGCTATAAAAGAAATAGTTAGTTGCTAAATATTTATATGCCAGAAGAAAGAAATCTTGGAACATTTTTTTCAGTTATTAAATAAAAGTTACTTTTACAAAGAGTGTCGCCTCATTCTTGATCGAAGATAAACAAAAGCCTTGTTTATGAATTTTTTCTCTGCTTCTTCTTCGTTCGAGTTCAAGAAAAAATAACAGAATGTATCATTAACATCTTTCCAAAACTCCAGTTCTGTCAAACGCTTTGACAGAAGATGTAAGATAGAACTTGAGTTGTCCATGAAGTACTTGTTAACAGAATCGTTTTGAATGTTTATTGATTCCGGATTCTCTAAAAGTTTATCCTGCATCTGGTCATGAAATGATAAAAAGAAATAGGGATATAAATTCCTGAATATATGATTTCTGTCAAATATGAACGGCTGTCGAATATATTCAGTGTAAGTCTCCTTTTGAAATTTATGATCTATGATAAGTTTCAACAACTGCATATTTCTATTTTCAACACCCATTTGGATAATGTAGTGACAAACATGTTTTATCGGTGACATACATCCACTATTGTTTCCTTGCCACCAGAATTGCTTCATAAAGGTGTTCATTATACGACGATCTCCTCTTAATCCGAGCTCCAGCAAATACCCTAGTGAACCATACTCATCCTGTTTCAGTATTCGTTCGATCAAGGAACCGGCCTTGCAGTATAAAGGCTGATTTGCGTTTTTTTTCTCAATTTCCTTTTCTATAAAAGGTCGAAATGCTCCCTGTGCCTCCATTTCCTCTTCTAAAATTAGATGACGTGCGCCCTCTCTCTCACTTTTATCATTTTCTAAAACCTGAAATGCATCTTGTGGCACACTTTCATCATTTTCGAAAACCTCAAGTTCGTCCTCCGATCCCTTTCCATTATTTTCGACAGCCTCACATACGTCCTCTGACTGCCTTTTATCAATTTTAATAAACTGATATGCATCCCTTGCCTCTATTTTATCCTTTGTATTGAAAAATAACCACGACGAGCGAATATTCGTTAAAATATCAAAGAGATGATTATTCCCCTTTCCTTGTCCACACAAGTTTTCACCTTTTACTAAACTTGTTGTGATCTCTTTCCGTCCCATCCATACAGACATTTCCAGAGGAGTCATATTCTCTGAATTCGTAAGCCTGTAATTGGGGAATTTCTTTATGAGCGCACTTATTGTCTGAGTATCGTTCAGTTTTACAGCAACATGGAGAGGAGATGAGTTTTCATCTCCATATGCTATATTTACGTCTGCTCCATGATCTATCAATAGACACGCTACATCTGAATGCTTATTTTCTATTGCTTCAATCAACGCGGTGCAATTTAATATATCATAGCCGTTGCAGTCCGCTCCTTTTTCAATTAAATACTTTACAACGTTCTCAAATCCCCCTGCTGATGCTAAAGACAATGGTGAACTCCCGTTTTCATCCACGTACTTGCAGTCTGCGCCATGTTCAAAAAGAATTTCTAGAACAGATTGATGCCCATTAGCTGCCGCTATACAGAAAGGAGAGGCCTCCTTGTCCTTGTGTAGCGAGTAATCAGCACCATACTTAAACAAGGTGTTCAACATTTCAACATTCCTCCATTTCGAGGCAAAATACACTGCTGTAAATCCATCTTTCGCACGAACATTGACATGAGCTCCATTTTTTAAGAGAAATTCCACTGCTTCTGTATTATTCTTTTCTGCTGCATAAATAAGTGAAGACATGATATTGTTATGTTTGTTTATATCAGCTCCAGCAGCTACCAGTTTTTTAATCATGCCCATATTGGATCTTTTAATTGCACAATTCAACGGGCTCCAACAATATGCATTTAAAGCATTGATATCTGCTCCAGCCTTTAATAAGGCATCAACAATATCAGCACTGTCCTGTAGGACTGAAAATGTTAATGGGTTATATTTCTTATAAAAAGGAGCGTTAAAAAAAATCGTTTTTCTTATTAAGATAAGAGCACTCATTCTTACAGGCATTTTCTACATATTTTAAGACAAGCTCGAGGATGCTGACATTCTTTGAATGGCAAGCAAGGAAGATATATCTTGTTTGGTTTTCAACATCAGTGCCAAATAACATCCTCAGATCTTTCTTTTGCGAAGACATTTTTCCAATTATATATCTTAAAATCGTTTCGTGTCCGTATGCAATTATCCAGCTGATAATGCGAATTCGACAATTCATTGGGACAAAATATATGTTAAAGTCATCAGGTATACCAAATTCATCAATATAAGGTTCTATCCTTTCAATGCCTAGTGGATCCTCTATTACGTTTGGTAGAAATAATGTAAAAATTTCTTTAATGTCCATTTTTTGATCAAATAAAATTGAGATACTTTTTGAATCTCTGAAATTTGAATGAAGAGATAGAAACATTTTTGAAATATCATCCTCTGAATCGTTGTTCAGTATTGAAAGGAAATGGTTGCATACTTTTGAATTGTTGAGGAAGTCTGAAGCAAATACGTCGTAAAATCTAAGGTTCTTTTAATCTCTGTACAGCCTCTCGGCCAAAGTTTTGTACTCACTCTCCGGAATTTGAATTTTTAGACAGTCTTCTTCAATGTCCTCTAATGTGAGTCTTCGTGAAATAAATTCACATGACAAACGATTAATAATTTCTTGGGGACACTTTTTCCCGTAGTGACAAGCAACGACCTCGAACATTAAATCGTGCAAGAAAGTGAATCCGCCTTCACACTCTTTAAGGTATGTTCCAACCATCTGTGAAAGGGAATCTATTATTTCCCAGTTATCTATGTCACTCTTTACTTTACAGCATTGATAAGTTCTAATTATTTCTTTCGAAAGCGAGACATTCTGTAATAAAGCTTTGGAAAAGTGTCCTTTGTTTAACATGCATAAAACTAGAGCTGCGTAAGACAATCTTTTTTCCTATTCTATTTCATCAAGTTGTTCCAAACTTATTGGATATGGTTCTTTAAAGAAAGAACATCCTTTATTTTTGTAGTTAATATTCGTTTTAAACTTTTCACACAGAAATGGAAACATAGGTTGCACATCATTTTCTTCAACATACTCGTTTATTTCTTGAGCAGCAGGACAGTTTTCAATGTCAACATACTTTGTTAGTATAGACAATCTGTCTTCTTTTGTTAAAAGGTTTTTTTCATCCTCTAAATCAAAAACGGTCTGTGGTAGACTTGTATGAATTTTTAACTGTCTTGCTTCTATAAGAATGTCTTTTCGACATGTTATAAGCAGTTTAGATTTTGGATCAAGAATTTGTCGAATGAAATCAAAATTCCTTCTGAAATCATTGTGCAGCTGATCTTGAAAACAAATTTCCCCAAATGCACTGTCTAGAAGAAACACTTGTTTTAATTCGGGGTGTCCATATTTTATGATGTCTTCTGCGTGTCCAATAGGAATAACTGTAAAATCCAATTCCAGTAGTTTAATTGCAACATGGCGGGAGGTTGCTGTTTTACCACATCCCGGTCCCCCAGTGAGTACAGTGATTTTATTATCATTGATGACTTGCATCAAGTTATTGCAGAAGTGGGTTTCGGCGTATCGTTCGTCGTCTTTTCTACAATTGTCAAGAGTCATTTTATGTAAAACTGAAATAAGTGGGAAAAATGTGTCATTGCATTAAGGTAGGATTCTTCTCTGGTTTCCGACTAGATGAAATATTCAATGTATATTTGGTAATATCTCTTATATATATTGAGATGTAAGAGATTTAAAAGATCATATTATTTTCTTTTCTCATCACAATTGTACAGCTTTAAATAGGTATGGTGATCTGAGTTTAAAATCTAGCAGAAACTATATTTTGGAGAAACGGTGGCGTATAGAAATATCGTCTTTTCTGATCCGTAAAATAATTGTAGTACTATGCATTAAGTCATATTTTTTACGCGATCAAAGATTTTTCACGTTAGTTAAATTAACGATATGAGACCAAAACTTAAAATGTATCAAATAAATATATGCTTTTCCAGACAATCTACAATAATATTAGCTTTAACTGGTTTCCAATCAAAAATCCTAAGAAAGTGATTTACTCTCTTATAATTACTAAACGGTCAAGACTTTTTGTTTTTGTATCGTTTTATATCTCTTTATGATTTCTTAACAATATGTGAAAATTAGAAAATTCGCAGCACTGTTTAGGCCTACTTTGCGAAATCAACGGAAAATAGAGGTGCAAAACGGTTTTTTTTTAAGTACAAGAAATACAAATTTGTGTGAGAAGAATCCTACATTTAATAATGCTAAAAGACCGATTTAGTTTTATTACGTTTTAATATGTTCTGATGTTATACTCACTTTGAATATTCTCTGGAATGTGTGAGGAACTCTGAATTCTTTCTATTGTAGTTTGCATCTTTCCTTGATCACCTGAAAGTTGTATTCACAAGTTTAACAATATATTCATTTGTTTTTTTTTCCATTATGACCATATTTTTATGGATGTACATGTATCTCATAAGGGCTTACGGGCTTTTGCATTTCCTTCTTTGCTAAATGGAATTTGAAAACAGGAATATAATCAATAGTGATAAATGTATTTTACAAACAGCACAAACCTGTTTACAGAACATAAAACGCAAAGCTTTAGCGATAGATTGGACCTTGAGTCAAAGGGTATATGTGGGTTTAATTTGTTTTTTGTTTAATGTAATACGCATCTGATATTGAGAAACAAATTAGGAAAATATTGTCACCATTGAAGTTTCTGTCAGATTTTTAGAAGACTTAAGAAAAGCTACAGGATAAAAAGAAAACAACTTACGTTTCACTTTTTTTATTTGCTTTTTACATGAGATTTCTTCTTTATGTTTCCGTTTTAGCTCTTTCCTCCAAAACTTTGTTTCCTTTGGATCCATTGTAATGTATTCTAAGGGGACCATTGCCTTTTCGTATTTTCCTCCATTAGCTAAAATCTTATATAGGTCCTGAATGACTCGCTTTGTGTTAATCCACACATTTCGGAAATCAGCATCTGATAATGTTATAGACTGGTTATGACTAAATTTATTTCTAAGTAATCTTATCCTTTCTATATTTGCTGCTTCAGAAAACTCGTTTGAATCTGGATCTTTTCCCCATCCATTAATGTGTGGAGGTAAACCAGAAAGATAACGTAACAAAGTATAAATAAGAGTGATATCAAGTCTGTATAGTTTGATTTGTAGGATCCTGACTGCGGGAATAAAAGGAGTATTTGTGGCGAGGATAATCTATTTAAAAACGAATTCTTTTTTGCTATAGCTCTTTCTTGATGAAGTCTCACATATAGAGCTCCGGGATTAAAGTGGTGAGCCAATAAGTCCCGGAATTGGTCAGTACAGGGACCAAACAGTAAATGCAACACACGGCAGGCATTTGTTGTTTCCTTTGTTGATTGGTACTGAACTGAACATGCCATGTTTATTGACAAAATAGGAACAAAACACTATTTTCTTAATGATTCAATCACTATTGCGTCCAATAAACACAGTCATATTGAATGAAATTAACTGAAAAAAATTTCATCCGGTGTTTTTACTCCCATTAACATTAAAGACGTTGATCAGAATGATCTATGTTGCAAATGTGGCTTCCTTCTTCTTTCCCTTTAAGTTTGTAAGTTATCCATAGTTACAACAAACAATGTTTTATACGTTTCTCCGTTGGAGGAAATTGGCATTTAAATAATAATTTAAAAGGCGTCTGCATTCAATAGTGACAAGAATTACAGTCGAGTGTGCATTCAATACTTTCTGGTTTTAATTATTGATTATCTTTTTCGTAAGCTTTTAAACGCTATTGCAAAAAGGGACTTTAACTTACAGGTATAGAAATAAACGTTTCTATTATAAAGGACATTTTTATAACGAGTTCTTCAAAAACCCGTTGCATGCCAGAATGACTGATACATGTACTGTTGCTTTTCACAAAAACCACATCAAGAATATTTAAGATAAACTCTTTCAATTTAGAAAAAAATATATTGCATCCATATTTGTTATTTCTTTCCAGATAAATATGAAACAAATGGAAACTGTCTTGAGACATATAGTATATTTAGCCGAGGTTTAGAAACGTGATAGAGGGCAATGTTTGCCGAGAACTCATTTTCCACCCGAGCCACAATATCAATTTTATGTCAAAACAATAATCGTGGACTTTGTCTATCCAGCAAATTTTTGAGTTTGAAATTATAATTGATCAGATGTACTTTTGTCAATATTTCTTAATCTCAAAAACCCTAAAGGAGAATGTCATTATTATTTTTCTGATGATTCCTTTTGTGCACACAAGAAAGTAAAAATCGTTAACACATGCACATTTAGAAAAAAAAACACATCTGCCAAGTCAGTTCCTTTGATAATTGAATAAAAAAATGAATGAAATGTGTCGAAGTATTTTATAAATGAATTATAAAATATGAACACAACTGATTTAAAACACACCATTGTTTTTATTCTATACTTTGTATTTAGATCCACCCCATAATCCCATTGTCTCACGTCACTTCCGCAATATTATTTCAAAACACAGCTGGCGATACCTCGTGTTTTGAGGTAAGTGGTGAAAATGTTTGTTATTTTTCTTTGCTATGAATAAATTCTCTGCGTTGTTTTTTATCCCATTGATTTCAAAATCATCATAAAATCGATCTCTATTGTTTTCTTGATGAAGATCGTATGTTTTAGTTCAAAGACCAGAAAATAATCATAATATGCACACTATTTTCAATATCCACATTGTTACCATTTCCTTGTAAAACTGTATTTTGATATGCATGTTTGATCTCGGAATCTCTATAATATATAATCTGGTATCCCACGATTAATTTTAAATGTAAGGTATAAGAATAAAAACACACATGGTTTTTACATTTAACCCACTTCTTTGTTGTCTAAAAATAGAATTTACCTGGCACATCAGAGTCTACTGAACTGTTGAAAGAGGTTAATTTGAACTTTATTTGCTGTTCAAATTCAATATCAATGTCAAACGATGAAAGATATAAAATTTTAGGTTAGTTAAGACTTCAGTTTTATTTTCCAATATTATATGGTAAGGGTTATAATGAATCATTTATAAAATTTCGCTTGACTACTTCCTTATCGGGAGTTTCGTACTTAAAACCTAAAGAGTTCCGGTTATCTATATCTCGGGATTTTTCATTGCACAAACGAAATTTTTTGACTTTCTGGCTTGGCAAAACAGTCGATTTATTTAGGACAGTGTCAGATCATTATCTATTATAGTATATTTCTGCCTCCTAAATGCAATTGCAAGGTATAGAGGGTGGTTCATAAACTCGTGATACTTCTCTATTTATTGAAAAGGACATTTTAATACTCAAGTTATGTCTAAATATAGATACAGCTACGTAGATGACTATGTTTATGTTTACGGTATTACCAGCTTGATATGGCAAAACACTTTACGTTTGTATCATACATAGGTTTTCTTAACATTGGCGACCTTTTAGTGAATGTCAACCTTTTTATTTTTAATTATTTTTTAATGTATACGTGTATCACTATTGCCAATTTGCGCGAGAAAGATCAGTGGGAAAATTGTAAGAAAGCATGATGGCCAGTGCACTTCCCACAGCATGTTGAAAGTTATATGCATCCTGCGAAAATATTTTTTTCATAAAATAAAACTTTGTCCCTTAATCACACTATCGGAGCTATATGTACATGCAAGACATTCCATTAATTTCAAATCAAATATAAGCCACAAAGAGCAGATAAAAAATAAAGCAAACTAAGCAAACTTTGTGAAAGCATATTTTAAAGGAATACTTAGTACTTTATTTTCTGAGACAAAATTGAATAAAGCATTATGCCATTACTTTTAAGTCACAGTATCAAGGAAAACAATCTATATCTGCATGTGTAATATATTTAATTACTGTAAAACTTCTTGCCATTCTCTCTCTCTCTCTCTCTCTCTCTCTCTCTCTCTCTCTCTCTCTCTCTCTCTCTCTATTTTAGTGGCAAGCAAAAGGATAAGAAACAACTTCTAACAACTCCTTAAAAAACACATAATAATTGTCATGCAAAATATAAGCAAAAAAGTATACAAATAAAAATCAATAATATATCTATCTAAACCTACAGAAATCAGTTATAAATTTATGAACAATTGTCTCTCTCTGTATATCACTGGGCCATTTGGACAATTTTATTCCATTTTTGCGATTTCGAAAACTATGCCTATTTGAAACAAAAATCAGAAATGGCAGTTAAAAAAATGTCTTCCTCTTTGTGCATTTATCAATGTTTTTTGTTTCAAGGTTGCAATTTTTCAGAACAATTGAGATTCCCTATTTCAAAAATGGAAAGTCTGACTTATTTTGCTGTGTGGCTAATTTGCAATTCATTAAATGGCAAATTAGAAGTCAATGTGCAGCTTCCAGATATTGTTCAAGATTGTGCTGTTTAAATCGTTTTATCTGAAAAAAGTTAACTATTTTTAATCTAACTAAATTAATTATTTTCTGAAGCATAAAGTTCTTTTAATCTTCTACATATTTAGGAAAAAGGAAAACTGTGACACTCTCTTATCTTAACATGCAAGAAAAACATGTCAACATGCAAGATAATTATGTTAGCAGGCAAGTGACCGATGTTAGCAGAGAATATAATTTTATTATCTGTCAATTTACTTACTGACGCCTTTTTCTGATATCAAGATGAAACATAATTATGTTGATATGCAACTTATTTATGTTAACATGCAAGATAATTATGTGAGGATAGTCATGTCAACAATCAAAATATTAATGTCTTCTTTTGTTAAACCGAAATCGCCATACACAGCAGTGCGGTCGATCTTGCTTTTAAAACAAATATTTTCAGAATATTGCATGACTATGTCCCCTACAGGATTCCCATTTTCTCTTTTATTGTCGTAAAATCACATTTTCAGACCAGTAGGAGTTCAGATAATATAAATTTTGTATTAAAATCAAAATAATTTGCAAAGGTATACTGTCACTCAAATGACTACATGAAATTAAGAAGCTGCACAAAGTGATGCGCACTCTAATTAGACTCGGCCTCGTTAAAACAATAATTATTTGCTAAATTCTGAAAACGGCAGCAAGACACACTCAAAGACATAATTTAGATCAAGGTCAAGTTAAATAACACAATTTTACTGTTTTCACGAGTGCACTCGCAGGTGGACATCACGTGATGAATTTTAATATTAAACATGTCAAACGGAGACATAACAATGGAAGCAAGAAATTTGTTTCGAACATGTTTTTTTGTTTAATTAAGTATGAGCTCACATTTGTTGACCCTTCTCCCTTTTATATAAAATTATTTTGATTTTGTTCAATATATAACTACAGTTTGATCTCTCAAAAGTTCTTCCTGTATATTCCATCTCCTCTTTCAAAATTCACTTCAACATGACGAGCACATGGCAAACACATCGCTACCCTTTGTTATCGTATCGACTTATATATGTCGGTCAGTCGCAGCCACTCACAAATAATTTACGCAATACAAAAAAGGAGCTTCAAGTTTTAAGACAAATCTTGTTGTGAAAATTAAACAGGAATATTAGGACTTTTTTTAGATTGGCTAAACAACTTCATTTTATGATTGTAGCATTTGATGAAGTGAATTTCATTTTTAAGGAGCGGACAGCATTTGGAGAGGAGAAAAACGTCGCATGGAAGAAAATAAGGATACACGTACACCAGGATCAGAAAACGTATACTGCAAATTACGAGACTTAGTTAATATTACGAATTATCATACTTGATAAAAATACTGAAAAAAATTAGTATTAGACAGATGAATAAATCCTTTTTGATACACAGGTCAATTTTCATAATTACTTACCTTATATTATGAACATGGTACTGAAAGAACATTTGCCTTAAATTTATCTCATGTTATATGTATTCATATGAATTATTTTGAGCAGGGCTTCCTGTGCTCTAATCTTTGTTATAAAATACCTGTATGGTATTGATTTAAATAATAAAAATCAACTTTCTGTTTCTTTCAGTCCAGCAAAGTACCCAAAGAGGTTCAGGAGTTTGTGAAAAATTCTGATAGTTTCAAAGAAAAATATGATATTGCACAAGAACTTGGTGGAGGAAATTACGGCGGTGTTTTTAGCGCTTGGTATAAGGGTAAAAATAAAACATTTAAAGAGCGCGAAGTAGCACTTAAAATTATGGAAGAGTCAAGTTTTAAAGACAGTGAAATAGAAAGTAATCTGACATTTTTAAAAGAAGGCCCATGTGAAAATTTAGTACAATTTATCCATCTAGATAATATTACTTACAACAATAAAAAGTTTTATATAGTGGTGATGGAACTTTGTACGGGAGGAACTCTTGACAAATCCAAATTTCAGGACAGGTACAAGGAATATGAGTTCCAATTGCACATATTGAGAGGCCTATTTAAGGGACTAATATTCATTCATTCCTTTGATCTCGTGCACCATGACATACATGAAGGCAACATTCTTTTTAAAAGCGAGTCCGACCCTACTGTTAAGTATGGTGATTTCGGTTTAACAAAAGAAGAAGCTTCACACACGAAGTGGGATGACACCAAACGTCTTACAGTCACACTTATCCGTGTTGTGTTTAAAATAAAATCTTCTGTTTCCCTTAAAGTCGGTGATATTGCATCCAAGCTTAGAGATAAAGAAGTCTCCAAGAACATTATAGAAGTTATTGTAGGACTAAGAGAGAGAAGCATGGACCTCGAGGACGCCTTAGAGAAAATTGAAGATATGATAAGAAAACAACCGAAAGAGGGAGGTAAAAAAGTCGAAACTGAATATTTGCTCGTTTTTTTGTCTATAAAAGACATACGAGAAAAAATCTACCTTTAAAACCTGAAAGAAAGGTTTTTATAAGTGTCAACTCTTTTAAAGTTTTTAAATAAATATCTATTTGTCACAAATTATGTTATAATTTATTCAACAAAACTGAGTGTCTTGTTTCTCACACATTTAATAGATGACAGAATTACAGCATCTGCTCCTGAAGGCTCCTGTTTTCCAAGTACATCTGGATTGCAAGGAAGAAGGAAATGTAAGGAGTAATGAAATTATTTTTTAGATGTATGTTTTAAAATTATACTGGATAAATGATTTAATTTTTTTCTTTTAGCAAATCAAGAGGATGGTGCATGTAATCATATCCAGAAACGCAGAAAGATAGACGCTGCTCAAGTTGAATTCAAAGTAAACGGTATGATTGCTGTTATCTTTATTTTATAAGTATATTTGAGTCTACTTAGAGGATTTGCTAGATTTTTGAAAACCTATATAAGTCATTCACGAGAATGTACAACAAATTGTCCCTCCCCATCTGCTGTTCTCTCTTTATCTGATCCTACTCCGTTCCCCATAACCTTTCTTGTTTGACAATCTCTATTGCTTTGCTTGATATCTCTCTTCAGTTAGGAATAAATTAATAATCTATTCATAATATTTTACACGTACTTCAATCCATACAAACACGCTGGCCTTAAAATAAAATGCTCCACCCTATCAAAAAGCCGTTTGTACATGTTCTAGAATCTAAAGAAATTGTAAACCTGTGACATTCAAACTCCAACCTTCTAATACCATCCTTATTATTCTATACAAATATTTGTTTTACTTCAAATTCAATTTTTTGTTCAACTTTCAATAAAAAGTTAAAAACTACTTGGTAAAACCTATTCATTTTATTCATTAAAATATGACCAAATCTGTTATATTCAAAATCTTTGACACAAGTTTGTTTGTATCATCTGTCACTTTTTGAAAAAGATCGCAGAAATTCTTTTAAAAAATTGCTTAGATTTATATTTTAAAAAAAAAGAGAAAGACATAATTGTAGAAACAATATATTATGTGTATCAATGAAGGACAAGTTGGATCTTGATGGCCTCTAAAATGTTTTCGTTTATTTGTCCAGATGTTAAGATATGAAACCGAGAGTATATTGCAAATAGTTGACTTTATTGACTTTATCATTTTAAAGGGTTTTTTCTTTATAGATGTCATACTTTCAATAACAGCGTTTCAGAGATAATTCACGTGTCCAACTTGCTCTTCTTGTATAAACGTATATTTTTTCTGCGACGATCGTTTGCACTAATTTTTCGCGTCCCCCTTATATGCAACTATTTTTGATATATATTTTTTTAATTAAAATATTTTTTAGATATTTTCATTCAAGATAAACTTTCTATTTGTTAATGAAAGAAATTTTTATAAGCTGTAAAATTTTTAACTTTTTATCTCATATAGAATTGATCCTATTGTAATTTTTGGGACATGTTGACCATTTGCAAAACTTTGCTTAGCATTTATAATGTAGGAAAAATGAGCAGTGTAATATACCAGTTTTGCTTGGTAAAGTACAAGAAATCTATGTGGTTCCAGGAAATGCATTTGTCGCCTGCTTTTAGCTTCTCTAAAGATGAAACTAAATCTAAGCTAGTAGCTAAATATGCTACTAGCGCATTAAGTATTTCATGCAATAAAAAGGGAAAAAAACCTCTAGCATTATAGTTTAAAATTGCACGAGAAACATCCACCCAAAGTATAAGCCTTCCATAGAGTTTGACAATAAAAATTTACCAAACCTCAAATGAATAATTAAGTAAAAATCATTTAAATAAAAATTAATCATTTTGCATATGTATAAAAATTGATGAATCTTTTCCGTACCAGCACCTACTGCGACAAGGGACCTTGGTTTATACGATCTTATACGAAAAAAAGCCTTCTCTATATCCCACCGTCCCATTAGAGCCCGCAAAGTTAGGAGCAACTCCTTACTCTCTGACTTTAGAAGACCATCCACTGCACCATGCAGGCGGTTCGTTCAAAAACATAGAAAGAAATCTCTTATAATCTTTCTTAAACCTCTCATTGCCTAATAAGTGCTTGCCTCAATTCTATATGATTTGTCTTTTAATTTGTTGTGTAGATTAAAGGAAGAGATTAATTTGTACAATGAAGGGCCATGCCATATTCCAAGGGGAGATAGTTATAAATGAATTAGCCAAAAATTAATGACATTTTATTTGAAAATCTTCTTCTCATGAACCACTGGGCCCAGAAAAGATGAAACTCATGAAAACATTCTAAGGTAGTGCAGAGTAAAGTTTGTTCAAAATATGATCCCTAGGAGTAGGGCAGGACCACAGTGGCAGATCAAAGATTTGAATAGGAATATATAAGGAAAATCTTTAAAGTGACAATACGGCGCATCTCTTCAAAAGCAGACTTGTTAAAATTTTCCTATAGGATTTAGATTTTTTTTTTCATACTCATAAATGTACACACCTTCAGAAAATTACAAGTTTCATAAGTAAATAGTTCTGATTATTTTATTAGAATTAATAATTATTTATGGACTATAAATATATATATCGCAACATGTTCGAGATTCCACATTCCATGCTATACACGCATGCGTAGTTTTTATAAACAAAACAGCATGGTGAGAGAGGGAAGCCCGGTAGGCCTGTTACATTGACAAAGTCGAACAAAAGGATAAACGAAACCAAAAATAGGTCTTGAAATTTAAAGCAACTTTTTTGACAATAATTTAGTTGGGAGATTAATATAATCATTGAATGAAGAAGAAACGGGATCTCGGCAACACTCACGTGGGGCTCGCGAAGGTTCTACCCTACAGGGTTAGTTGATACATGCTATCATTTCTCGTATCTCCATGGTTTTCAAAGAAAAAAAATCAGTGTAAACTCAACATACAAATGCACTTATGACATATAAAATTACTGCCATTGAAGTGCAAATTGTATTGGAACTGCAGAAAAGTATTATGTTTGACATTTTCCCGTGATGACGTATGATGGTTTTTCCTTTCCTGTATCCCAATACACAAAACGTCAACATTTGTACTTATATAATTAATCATTTAAATTCATCTGAATATAGACAAAAATGTTAACTAGTATTAATTTACCGGAGAGTTATGATATTTTGATTCTGAAAATTGCTTTTACCTAATATTCCATTATAATTGTATACCCTACATTGTATGCTCGTGTGTGACAACGCACTTTGGAAAAAATTACACACTTTAAACAAATTTTTCAAAGTGCGTTAAAATTGGGACAAATTCAACGCACTTTGAATGCGTCAAATTCGGGACACACTTAACGCACTTGAATTTTTTTTTCGAAGTGCGTTAAAGGTACTTGGACACAGATTTTGGGGTAATTTTTTCTGTATAATATTACGACTTATATATTTCAATAGCATTTTACACAAAAGATATCCTTTAACTTTCACAAATATTAAGTTTACTCTTAATACTTAGGGAAAGTGGCAATCTTGTTGTGTCTAAATGAAAAATATAAATATTATAACCCAGAAAAATCAGAGTAGACATGTTCGAAAGCAAAACAAACACCAATTTATTTTCAGTCCGTGCAGTTCTCTGTTTACAAAAACTGTGTACATAACACGAGTGTGATCGATTTGCACACAGGATTTAGTTCGGAATGACAATACTTGTGAAGGCATTTTGCTTTGTAACATTTCTACTCTAAAAAAAATATTTTTCTGGATTAAAGTTTTGATATTTCTCATTAATACACAGAAATATTGCCACTTTACCGAAGGATTAAGAATAAAGTTAAAATTTGTGAAGTTGCAAGGATGTGTCAATCAAACCCGCCAAAAAATTTGAAGTTTTAATAACTTCTGAATGAAATAAGATTTTTAATTAATTTTTGCGAGAAATTTTTTTAAAATATATAATTCATTATATTGTACAGAAAATATTAACTTCAAATCTGTGTCCAAGTACCTTTGAGAGTGTACATATACATTTTAACACGAGGCCATTTAACGCACTTTGAAAAAAAAATTATAAAACACAAAAATTCTAGAAGAAAATGTTAGTAACCGAGAGAATCAATTTGTAATACATGTAATTTTCTTTCTAAAAACTTTTTAATTTACATGTACTAATTATAATTAACCTCAATGAGAACATCGAGAAGAAGAGAAGATCTTCTTATACACTGTACATAGCCGTCCCAAGAGAAGCCCCAATTTTCAATGCCTATATTATGTATATCATGCAAAACATGTGTGCCTAAGCCCCCTTTCCGACACTGATGCCTATGCTACACCAAATATATGTATTTGCATAACTGGTATAAACGTTGAAAACTTTCAATAAATTTTAGTTTAAATAAAATGCATGCAAACTAGAAAAAAATAAGTACAGCAAAACATTTTAGAGAGAAAGAATTTTCAAAGCATGGAAAAATCAAAATCTCTCACTTTCAAATCTTGAAGTGACCTCATCATCAGCGAAATGTTATCAAACAGGTTCAATTATTTATCATAACTAAGATAAGCAAGAGTATTGACCTAGCCATACACATTTTTCAAAGTGCCTTAATATGGTCAATATTAAGGCAACTTTAAGAATCTTTTTCTTAAGAACATCATAGTCATGTAACCGGTCACGGTAGCCTAGTGGTAGAGCGTTCGCTTCGTGATCGGGAGGCCCGGGTTCGATTCTCGATCGCGGCGCCGCGTCATACCTAAGACGTAAACAAAGGTAGTGACTGTTCCTTCGCCAAGCGCTCGGCACTAGAAGTGAAAGTCACGGGTCTTTCGGATATTACCTTAAAAACGTAGGTCCCGTGTCACGGTAGGCGTTGGCACGATAAAGAACCCTCACTGCTCAATGGCCCTGAGTGCCGAGTATAGGTCTAAATTTGAAGCCCTTCACCGGCATCGGTGACGTCTCCATATGAGTGAAAAATTCTCAAGAGGGACGTTAAACAATATACAATCAATCAATCATAGTCATGTATAGGTGAGCGCGGTGGCCCATGGAGTTTGTTAATCTCTGTAATGTTTTCCACACCATATAATTATATGTAAATTACCGACATTTATAAAATATAACTATAGGTAGAGGTAGATAAATATGTATAAAATATTATACATGAACTAATGTAATAACATTTTTTTTTATATTTCAGATGTCGAGATACTGTTCGATTATCTTTCACGTAGGTTAGTTGGTCCAGGTACTTCCCTAGAACTGTGTGTTGCACTCTTACACGAAACCACAGTTGTCGAAAGTTGTAAGACAAGGTATAGTCCTGAAATTTCTTTTAAAATCATGAATACATGGAAGTGCAGACGTCCCGAACTTGACCACGCGGAGGAACTGAAGAACGCACTCAAGGAAATAGGAAGGCTGGATCTGGCGGAAGACATCGGAAACTTTTCTATTGAAAGCTTTCGACATCATCATATTGAAATAGAGGGGCCAGAAATATATGTTGGTGAAGACGATTTTGTACAAATATCTAGGCATCTTGCTCATACATACGTGCACGTTGTTCGCTATCTTGGACTACGACAAAAAGATATTGATAAACTAGAAACCAACTTCCCATGTGACATAAAAACGAAAATTATCAAAGCATTGAAAATAATTAAAAACAATTTTCCATCTCTGAATAGAAAACATGTTTGTGATGCTTTGTACTATGCTGAAGAAAATGATGTAATTGTTGTTCTTAACAAGGGGTGGGGAAAAGCTTGATCATGTAATATCCTCGGTGTGTGCTAACTTGTATCCATTTATGAAACATAGGTATCCTCTTTCAATTTCTTGATTATAAACATGTACATGTATGCATGTTTGTATGTTTGATAAACTCTTGATCATAAATAAAAACCAATGCAATTGTTTCATTTTTTCCTTTAACTGTTTTATTACAATGAGTTTTTCTTCGGAAAACAACGTATTCTTAAAACAAGGGTCAAAAGGCAATAATGGTTACAGTGTAGCTGAGTACAAAACATCAATTTTAAAGATCCATAAACTGATAGAGTGAAGATTTGTCGCCAGAAAGCAAGAAAAAAATATAGTATGATTCAGTTCAACAAAACAGTAGGTCTAGTATCTCTCTGTACCTCATTTATCTCTGTTACCATGCAGACTTTTAACAAAATATCTATTTCTTAAGTCCACATCATTGCGTGCACCCTGATGTTTACTCAGTAAATATACATAAGCGAGGTACCGGTAACATGTATCAAAATAGCCCGATTTTTAAACTGACAAAACTAAAGACCGCTAATCGGAGATAAATTTAAACAATTTTGCTTTGAAACTACAATCAGTCATGAGAAGAAAGATCATTGTAGAATATGTGACCAAACCTACATGAATATTCACTAAATATACCTAGATATTTTCCTATTTGAAATTCGGTTAGAAAACATGCATATGGTCCACGCATTTTTAAAGGACAGCAACTTGTTACCTAATATATTAGCCCTTCTTAGGTGTAAAAGAGAAATTTAAAAGAGCAGTTAAAGTTAGAACCCTCTCTACACTTGAGACTAAACATTTCTGCTTTTAAGGAATGTTTCTGCAGTTAGAGGGGTCTGTCCGTAGATCTAACTTCTAAATAAAAAAGTAGTATATCACTCAATTTGTTATCAATTCCAGTATCCTTAACATTTTAAAAAGCCAAGATAAATTAATCGAACATGTACTTTACATGTTATTTTCTTTATGGAAGTAAACAACAATGATCTGTGTTCACTGGTTGCGTTTTGGTGAAATATATTTTTTCTTGGTTAAATGCCACTACCTTATATTGCAAATTAAATACATAATTTAATTTGGTCATTTTAGGCTTCAGCCACAGTTTGCACTGTATATAGTCTTAAAAACAAACAGTTCATGAATAGAAAATACATGTACATTTTTGTTAAACTTAAATGAGCTCTCTAGATCAAATTCAGTTTGTTGTCAGTCGTCCTTGATAACAAAAAAAATCTTTTCTTTTCAAGGAACCTTCGCCATAAATAGAGAATGTACCGGTACACAGGTCTGATTTTTTTTTCAATTTCCAGACTCGCCGTAATGAGTAAGATTAAATTCTCAAAATATTTAGAAATTTTATTATCAGATATTTGAGTCAATAAAGGAGATTATTAAAAGTTCATATCCAACCACCAAAATTTTCAATTTGGTCTGTCTGTCCCTCTGTACTCTTGTCTTTCTCATTATATTTTCCGCGCGATATCTCGAAAGCTTTTGGGCTTTTGCAATCAGATTTACAAATTGTTTATTACCTTATTTGTCTTAGATCAAAACTTCAATATCAAGGTTGTAAATTTGTATAATCGTTCTGTAAAAACTTAATTTTCCGACTTATATCTCTGAAAGATCGAGTCATTTCCGTCTACTTCTGGTTTGATTGTTTTGACTTTTCAATTGATTTTACTGGTTCCTTTATCATTAATTAAAAGATTTTAGGTCAAAAGACATACAACACCTTTCTTGTTAACATTTGACTGTCTAAAATGCGTCGAATCTTTATAATCCACAGATATTCCTTTTAATCTGTTTGCACTAAGACATCTAATAAAGTTCAGGGATCAACTTTATAACTCGTTACCAAAACATAACAAGTTATAGTTTGAATACATTTGACAGGCATCGCCAAAAAAAAAAGAACAAAGAACATTGTCCAACCTCAGAGTTAGTTGAATGAAAAAAGAATAACACTCACTCTGGCTTTAATGTGCTTATTTATATTATGTACATTCATATGAGGCGTAACAAAAAAATATGTTTGTTTACGGTTACCCGACCGACCCTAATTTTAATCGCCGACCCAAACTTTTTTTTTCGTCATAAAAATCCGGAAGTTACTGGCCGGTCAGTTTAACTTTTACATTCATCTTTGAAATCGAAATCGAAAGTACATTTATAAACAAAACCAGTGAGTTCAAGATCTACATCAACGAGTTTGTTGCAATTTGCTTACCATTGCGTGGCAGTTGCAGGGGTGTGCAACAAGCATCGACCAACGCCCGGTGCTATCGTTTTTTGGGGGTAGTAAAAATAAAATTAAAATTATGCTTTTAAAAATGAGAAACACAAACGGTATTTTCACTCAATGTTTTGCTATTTAATTTCCAACTAATGAAAATTTTCCAGGCAGCATGCTCCTACTGTTCTTAAATCACTTTAATCTCATCCATTTTGCAATACTACCTGACTTATTTACTTAAAAAACGATTGTTTTTTCCTAATCCGAATTTCCTCCATTCCTCTATTAATGGTAAATACATGCAGAAATCTCTTTCAATTATATACGATCCCCCAATCAACTGATAGCTAAGTGTTATGTGACTAAACTTTAATATATATCAATTATACTTAATGGTTTGAAATGAAAATAAAATGATTTTTGCTTCATTTTAGACAAGCTAGACTAGTGCAATATGTTCAGAAAAGAAAAGATACTTTCTTAAAATTTTTAAACTTCAACTTTAAAAGGAATGGCTTAGGACCCTGACTTTCTCAACAATGAACTTTTTAAAATTAACTTTTTACAATTTTTTGCCCCTACATTATATTTGGACTGGTCACTTTTAACTTTGGACTAGTATTAACCTTATTGCTGTTACAAGCCTGTGGGTTAGTATTTGATTTTTTTTAATTGCACACCCCTGAGCTGTAAGGCAAATGGCAAGAAAGATTATATTTTCTACCACCCATATTACAAGCCCAAACAAAATTAAGGCACCATACAATGGTAAAACTGTTTGTAATTCCAATTCATGTGAATTTAATTGTGTATAAAAAAAATTCAATAAAATAAAAAAAAATTCCTACCTACCGACCCTACTTTATTTCAGCACGTAACAGTAAACAAAGTTATTTTTTTGTTTGGCCTGAATAATAATATTTTTGAATATTGAATAAAACAACAAAAAAATGCATATACTATGTTTTTGTCTTCTTTGATGACCAATAAGAATGACAGTGATGCAGGTGTTAAATGTTCATGTTGCACATACTGTTATTAAATATAATGTCGTCTCATTTTTGTTTTAAGGTACGCTAGAGCATCGGAAATAAATATATAATCCTCATGTTCATATAGAAATGATTCAGGATCACAATCGTCCCAAATTCTATATTTCAGTCTAGATATATGCCCCAATAAAGCATGTGAAATGGAGTTTGAATTGTCCATTATATACCCAATTTGATGGGCAAATAGGCCTTTGCAGTGAACTCGACCAGAACCAAGAATAGCGAAATCAGGTTTAGTTCTCTCTAAGAAATCTTCATTTTCAATATAAATGGTTTCAAGTCAGTTTTCTTGTGCATTCCTCTCTTAAACATGTGGTCTAAAATCAATTTCAGAAGCTGGATATTGCCATTATTGATGCAATTTTCAATTATAAAGTTTGACATTAAATCCTCGTGATCATTATTATACCCGCACTTTCTAAAGAAAGTTCGGGTATATTGTTGTTACTCATGTCCGTCCGTCCGTCCGTCCGTCCGTCCGTCTGTCACACTTTTCTTCCCTAAACTCCTCTTACATTTTACACAGTAGGCTAATCATCTTTTGGGAGATGGTTGGTGGTGTCATGTAGATGTGCAGTAAGGTTTCGGAATTTTGATTTTGCCCCGGGGGGTCAAATGGGGGTCGAAAAATGACGTTTTTTATGCAAAAAGCCCCGTCTTCCCTGAACTCCTCTTACATTTTACACAGTAGGCTAATCATCTTTTGGGAGATGGTTGATGGTGTCATGTAGATGTGCAGTAAGGTTTTGGAATTTTGATTTTGCCCCGGGGGGTCAAATGGGGGTCGAAAAATGACGTTTTTTATGCAAAAAGCCTCGTCTTCCCTGAACTCCTCTTACATTTTACACAGTAGGCTAATCATCTTTTGGGAGATGGTTGGTGGTGTCATGTAATTGTGCAGTAAGGTTTCGGAATTTTGATATTGCCCCGGGGGGTCAAATGGGGGTCGAAAAATGACGTTTTTTATGCAAAAAGCCTCGTCTTCCCTGAACTCCTCTTACATTTTACACAGTAGGCTAATCATCTTTTGGGAGATGGTTGGTGGTGTCATGTAGATGTGCAGGAAGGTGTTGGAATTTTGATTTTGCCCCGGGGGGGTCAAATGGGGGTTGAAAAATGACGTTTTTTATGCAAAAAAAACCCCGTCTTCCCTGAACTCCTCTTACATTTTACACAGTAGGCTAATCATCTTTTGGGAGATGGTTGGTGGTTTCATGTAGATGTGCAGTAAGGTTTCGGAATTTTGATTTTGCCCCGGGGGGTCAAATAGGGGTAAAAAAAATGACGTTTTTATGCAAAAAGCCCCGTCTTCCCTGAAATTCTCTTACATTTTACACAGTAGCCTAATCATCTTTAGGGAGATGGTTGGTAGTGTCATGTAGATGTGCAGCAAGGTTTTGGAATTTTGATATTGCCCTGGGAGGTCAAATGTGGGTGGAAAATTACATTTTTTGTGCAAAAAGTCCTGTCTTTCCTGAAGTCCTCCTTAATGTTACTCAGAAGCCTAATCATCTTTTAGGAGAGTTAAATATCTTGAAAATTATGTAAAACATTAACGTTAAAGAGTAAAAAAACATTGCAAGCTGGGAAACATCTTGAGTTTTTATGAGTAATTAATGTACAAATGTCAAATGTGAGAGTCATATCTCATCTCAATCAAAAGTTATAAGCAAATGCAACATTTTTGAAAAGTAGGTTAGGCTTCAAGGTCAAGGTCACAGAGTAAAAGTCATGATTCATTTGGAAAGATCTTATCACAGGTAATAATATACATGCATTATAATATGAATGCCCTAACTTTTCTCTTTCAAAATGATAAATTTATAACAATTT